CTCTGTCTCTATCACAGACATTAAAAGAATGGACTAATATAAAGAAAAAGCTGAATATTAATAAAAAAACGTTATGAGAACCTCAGTCTAAGGTCGTTAGAATATTATATGTTAGAGATAAATCTGATGAACTGGTTTAAAGATTCTAATTATAAGATAAAAGATCTTTATAATGAACATCAATTGAAAAGCTTTGAAGTTCTTAAAAATCGGTTAGATTTACCTTCTAGAGAAATATTTAACTTCCTTCGTATTAAGAGCTATCTAAAAGATAACATATTAATGTTAGATGGCCGTTTTGGTAAATTGTTTATGAACATTTTTTCTAGGTGTATGGTTAAAAAGATATTCTCCATTGCAGTAGAACTAATACAAACTAAGGGGACCCCAGTTATCCCTAAAGCTTTAAGCAAATGGGAAATTGATCCAGCAATACCTATTCCATTTAATAATTGGTGTAAATCTTTTATGAGGACTAAAAAAGCCATTCACTGTCTGAATATTCTAGAGACCTTCACCAAAATATTGTATAGATGGTACCTGGTACCGACTAGACTTGCTAAAATATCTATCACAAATCCACCAAACTGTTGGCGGTGTCTCCAACCAGATGGCTCTATGTTTCATATATGGTGGGCCTGTCCTAGAATTAAGTCTCTTTGGAATATTACATTTGATTATATATATATAGGATTGGAGGTGTATATCTGGAACATAAAGTGGAAATTGCCTTACTCCATTTTATGGGTTTTGAAATTAAAGACAATTTTGATATTGTGATTATACACTGCTTAATGGCAACCAAAATATTAATTGCTAGATCCTGGAAAAGTACTGATATTCCTACTAGAGATCAAGTTAAAGCCCAATTATTATATCTAGTTGAGATGGAAAAAGGGCTGATTCATATGAAAGACTGCCCCAATCTTAATATTTTGATGTTTTATTCCAGTCTTGTTGATAGAATTAAAGGGCTTTAATGCGTTGAGGCAACCGGATTAACTTATTGTGACCATCTCAGACCTATCCGAAATACAGTAGTGGGCACTATCGTACGGGTTCCTTGGCCACATATCTGATATTAGGTATATTTATATTGGAATTTTTGACCTTCTATACTTCTGCAATATATTTGACCAGCGTGTTCGTAATGTTTGTCCTATTTATGTGGGTTTCCAGGCTGCTCTCAGACTTTGATACTCCTTCATGGGGATACTGTTATTATTGCACCTTTTTGTATTAGAAGGTTTATCTTTTCTGTAAATTGAAGTATGTTATTATACCTGTGTGTGTGTGTATACTCGGGAAAGGATACCTTTTTTTGTATGGCTCCTTCCTCTGATGTTGTTTTGTCTATCTATATTGTTATAAAAATTCAATAAAAAAAAGATTGAAACAAAAAAAAAAGATATATATATATATATATATATAAAGATAGAAATAGATATAGAGATAGATAGATAAAGATAGAAAGAAAAAAAATATATATATATAGATATATAGATACATAGAAATAGATAGATAGATAGATAGAAAGAAATAGATAGATACATAGAAATAGATAGATGATAGATATAGATAGATAAAGATAGATAGATAGATAGATAGAAAGAAATAGATAGAAAGAGATAGATAGAGAGAAAGAAATAGAGATAGAGAGAAAGAAATAGAGATAGAAAGAAAGAAAGAAAGAGATAGATAGAAAGAAATAGATAGATGGATAGAAATAGAAAGAAATAGATACATAGATATAGATAGGTAAAATAGATAGAAATAGATAGATATAGATAGAAAGATGGAAATAGATAGACAGATACAAATAGATATAGATAGATAGAAATAGATAGATACAGATAGATAGAAATAGATAGATACAGATAGATATAGATATAGATAGAAATAGATAGAAAGAAATAGATATAGATAGATAGAAAAAGATAGATCGATATAGATAGATATCTATATATAAAAATAGATATATAGATAGAAAAAGATGGATAGGGATGGATGGATGGATATGGATGATGGGGATGCATGGAGAGAGTGTGTGTGTATGTCTTTAATTTTTTACTACTTGTGTGTTTGCATAGAAACACTATATATTTGTATACAAACACACAAAGTTTGGCTGAGAAAGGGGGGCTGGTATAGAAAGTGAGATGAGCTGTCAGTCAGACAGCTCAGCTCGCGAATGCGCATTCCGCGCACATGCGCGGTTGAGCGCTGAGTTTCCTCATAGGGCGGCATTCAATGCCGCTCTATGAAGAACGCGATTGGTGCAGCACGAAGCCGTGCATGCGCACCACATCGCGATGACGCTTCTCAAAGAGAAGCGTCCTATTGGGCACTGCGATTTCGTCATTTTTACGAAAAAGGTGGCGTGGCCTGGTGGGGAGCTCGGCGCTGGAAGGGAGGTAAGTTTTATTATTGAGGCAAGTTCATATAAAAGCAAGAAAGAAGGCTGGGGGACCTGTCTTTCTTGCTTTTATATGTTAACTATAGTGTCCCTTTAAGGTAACCAGGCTCCCTTACCACCTCATAAAATTACATTCAATATCCATAGTTTGTCAATGCATCCATGATATAAAACACAATACATACATATAAACAACAAAACAATTAAAAAAGAGTACAACATTTATTTATCAGCAGGCGATTCCAGAAACCGTACATATGTATTTATCATTATTATACCAATAATTTAGAATTGTCGCGTGAGCATGGTGGATGATTAGAGTAATCAATATATATTACAAATATAAACCAGTGTCATTATTCACAAGGCCTATTTTTAATAAAAACCAGGGTGTCCAGATCTTATTATACTTTATTTTTTTATAATGATATCTTTGTTGAAAAAGTATCTCTCAGGGCGTGGCTTGGACGCCGAACAGGATGGACATCTAATCAGTGAGCTCCGCTCCACCGGCCCCCAAAAAGCCCTACTAATTAGCCACCCACAGCTTTAATGGGACGGACCCGACGAGACGAACCCCCGAACCCCGAATTTTTGCAGATGCCGGCAGCAACACGCGAAGAGGCCGGAGGCCCCAAGGTGAAGCCTGCTACCACTCCGCCTGATGATCACCCTGCTTCCACCCTGGAGGGCATCGGGGAAGAGATTCGCACAATGGCGGCCTCAATGGCTACAAAAGCAGATCTCCTGGTCCTTACCACCACGATTCAGGACGCACTGCGGGATCTAATGGCCGGAATCCGGACGGAGCACTCCCAGGCGGCACAGACTGCCAGACTGGCGACGACGGACACAGCACTCACAAGGCAGGGTGACCTGCTCTTAAAACTAAGGAGGTCGGTTGAAGATCTTGACAACTGCGGACGCAGGTGCAACATAAGGGTTCGCGGAATGCCAGAAATAGAAGGTGAGGAGGACCTCTTCCGCTTGATCTTGCCTGAGGATACACAGCTGGACATAAGGTACGACAGGGCACACAGAGCATTGCGGCCCCGGTCGCTTGAG